TAAGTTGACATCCAGCAAAATTTTAAACATTTACATGCCATTATTAATCATGGAAGGAAGTCTTAAATAACGAGCATTTTCCAAGGCTCTTACAAAGCTAGTAAAAGAATAAGAAACTAAACTATCAGAAGAATTTTAAATTTGACAAGTGCCAGATTTGTCTCAGGAACCTTCATGGGATTGGGGAAGTCTCACCAGTTCCTTGAGAGACACAGAGGAACCGGCATGAAGAGGCCGTGTTTGGTTTTGTTTAAATGCACTCAACTCCTCCCCCCTCTGAAATTTCTGTTCCCAAGCCAGCTACTGAAAGTCAAACAAGGTTACCCTCCTTCAGTTGTTTATTTTTTTTCCCCTCCTCTCTCATGCTTCCACCACAAAAACCCAACAGGGGAAGCAACCTCTCCCTCCCAGCATGTCCGTGGGGTCTGGGTCTTTTAGACGTAGGGTAGCTGTCTGCTTGGGGTCCGCTGTGACAGAGGAAAGGCATCTCCTGACCAAGACCTAGGCTGGCTGGCAACTGGCCTCAAGTTTACCAAACAAGGATGCTCGTACCAGATATACAGAAATGGGAAGACTCTACTGTTACAGGTAAAACAACCAACCAACCCTCCAAGACATACCCTTAGGAAACAGACGCCAAATAAAAAACGTGAGGCGACAATTTGTGCATCCAGTTATTGAGAAGGACTCTTGCAAGCCAAGCGCTCCTCTTTGGATCAGTAGGGTTTTAGTTATGGTACCGTAGCTGTAAACATTCAGTTACATTTACAAATATTTTAATTTGGTGCTTCCAGGAGAAGAGGGATCAACTTAAACTCCATCTGCCAGTTGGTGATGAGAAAGGTTGCTTAAGACAGGATATGAAGAGCTCACACATTTTAATTATGACTGCTGAAGCTCTCTATTTTAAGTAAATGAGTTACGACTCCAACATATGCAAGAACGCAACGGCATAAAGTGAACATTTCTGAAATGACTACTGCTAAGAAATGCACAAGCCATTCTCAAGCTGGAAGCTAGCTGACGGAGCTCCAGAGGTCACTCCTGCCTTTCGTCACTTCACTAGCAAATAATCCCACAGTAGCAGGGCCGGACTCACAAACAGCACTAATATTAGAGCCACAACACACATTTAGAAATCAAAGTACCTCGGTCTCACCAATACAAGAATTTGGAGACCCGTTTTGTTTGTATGGGTTGGTGATCATTTACACTCTGGTTTTCTGAAGACAGGTGAAGAGAACGAATTTAGGATTAAGTTCTTACACTTTTCTCAGGAGGACCATGGGCAGCTGTTGAGTATTCAGATCAGCTGGCTTGCTGACAACACACAGAAGACCCTAGCAAGTTAATCCGGCTGAGGCACAGGCTCATTTTTCCTGGCATTTGTACCTCTCCTAGCGTGAAATATCTATTCCTCTGCTAAATGCAGTAACCACCGCAGCGCTCATTCCAAAAATACAGTCCCCCTGAGCACTGGCACGGTTATCAGTGTTCCCTCAGCAGCTATGTCATTCTGGAGAAGGTGGAAGGAAGAAAAACACCTATCGGTTGTCAAGACAGACACACACCGGCCCAAGGCCCGATTTAACTGCCAACAAATCCTACAGGACAGTTTTCAACCAGACCAACCAAGTGCCCATCACAAGCGTGACTTTGGAAGGGCGCCATTCAAGAGGAGTGGTAGAATCCCGGAGAGAAACAGCTGTGTGCCCAAAAGAGTTGCAGAATAAGAAAAGTTTATATACAATAATATATATTTTATATTATACTTTTTAAATATATATATATGATCATAATACTTCCAATATGGCCTGAGACAAGAAAGCTGCCCACTTCTTCTTGGAGGAAGACAAAGGCATAGACACTTGTAACATAAACTCAGATCAGTTAAGGAACATCATATGCAATAGTCCTGTAACCATGACACTTAATCAAGCAAAGCTTCCGTATTCATTGCTCATGAGTAAATGGGGAATTAGTAAAACAGCAGTAATGCTAACAGCATGAGTTACTGTGCGAGTACAGGGTTGATTATGCGCATTGTATAACACCCTAATTCCCTGAATCCGGATACATATTTTAGAGGATAATTTGGTTCCAAAATTTAATCTTTCATTTCAGTGGAAGAAAAACTAGACACGTCTCCTGACTCCAGGGCGCAAAACTGCAGCTTCTTGATGACATGGACGGACAAGAAACTGAGATGCCTTCTTCCACAAGTTCAAAGTAACTTCTCTTTTGTGCAAGCAGGGAAAGGAACAAGTGCAGATATATAATGAATTCTCTCTCCTCCAGCAGCAATAATTGCCCTATTAAGGCAAACCACAAAGACTCCCCACTCCTTCCCAAGAGGTGAGAGCCTCAGTACTCTCCACCAGCCAGCTGTAGCTTCTATCTTCCAAACTATTTCACCACGACTTCTTCTAGGTATAAACTAGGGACACATTCAGCTATTAAAGTCTTTTGAAAATGTTTGGTTTTATTCTTCGGTTTTCCTAGAGTTGTCACAGAACTTTAACATAGCATTGCACTAGGAAAACATAAAAGTCTGCTGCAGGTTTTAAAGCCAACTTAAATGCAAACTAGAACGGGTGGAAGTGGGTTACAATAGATTCTCCGATTTAAAGAGAGAAACATTTAATCACAGATGAAAACAAGAATATGGTCACCTCTCTAACAAAGTGCAGAAACAGCAAAACACGTTTATTTTTCCATTTATTGGCACTTATTTGAGAAATAGCATAAATATTCAACAGAAGAGAGACAAGTTGACCCACACGCAACTATTAAACCCCTCTACTGATGCATCTTTTAAAAAAGACTGGAAGAGACACCAGGAGGTTCATTCTTAAGAAATAAGCAAGATCTAAAAAAAAAAAGTCTTGCCCTCACCACAAAAGAGTGAATGCACGGCAACTCTTTGGCACATACCTGAAATTGCGAAACAAAACTACGCCATAATTAGACAGAGAGCAAACAAACATTAAAGACAAGCTTGTCCACCTGCCACAGGGATGAAGGGCAGCCCGAAGTTAAAAAGGAACTGCTATCAGGAAGTTGACTATTACAATAAGTTAAGAGGAATGAAATCAGAAGTAAACCATGTCATGTCTTACTTGAGCCGAGTAAAACTATTAAATACGTTCTATTTTCTTCCTACAATAAGGACATACGGAAACTGGTCATTGGTCCTCAGGTCACCAGGTCTTTGCACTCCAAGTTGTCCATTTCTAATTTTGATGGCTGCTGTCAATCAAAGCTTCATCCATGTGAATCTTTCACAGCAGAGTTCAGAGTGGACTTTTCTCCTACTTGAGGAAGTTTCCATACTTTTCTCACTTTATTACACGTGACAAAGATTTAGTGTTTAAAATAAAACATTTTGCTTCATTATTAACCTCTCTGGAGAGCAGGCTTGAAACCACATAGTACAGATGCATACACGTGCACAAATGGGGACCCAGCTGGGGAAGTTCCACTGCGTAACGGGAGTCAACAACCAAAATGAGGTTGCCACTGGAAAATCTGAAACAGCTGTCTATGGTGCGGTTTGCAGATTTTTCCTCCTGTTTGGGGAATTTCGGAGTTGAGGTCAGGATGCCTCAACCCACTGACTTTCCAAATACAGTACAAGAATCCTGAAACATCTCGGATTACCAAATTCTAGGCTTCCAATCAGCATCTGAAGTTTTCAACAGCAGAAATAACTTGACGCCATTGTTTGAGGAAGTGACATCAAGAGATTTAACACAGATTAAACGTTTGATCGCTTCAGCCTGTAAAAAGGCATTCAAGATTCCTCACTGTATTTGTCCAACAAAAGTCATACATGAGGACGAACACTGCCTGTTAAAATAATGCACTTCTGAAGTACTAAAATACTCAAACCTCAGGATTTAATGTTTTGTTCCAAACATCGTTACTATTTTTCCATATTAAAAGACCTTTAACAGAGCATCTACCACTCTAATACATCATCTAAATAGGGAAGAAAAAGAAAGTAATACAAAAACCCAGAAGAATGTTCCACACCTAATTTGGATTTAGTGACAACAGCAGTCATGATCATGAATAAAATCCAACATATAAATTTAAGCTGACAATTCACCAACTTGTTCTTTTGACATCTATTAGAACACAGAATCGATTAACAGCCAACCATAATAGAACACAAGAATCAGTTCCCACCCTAATATTCCCCCTTCCGTATGAAGAACAAAAAATATAAATATCTAACACTTGGGGAATAAAAACAAATTAGTAGCCACTTCGTTGGTTTCAGACTGAGGACGAATGTGTAAGTCAGCTGTTACTACATAGGCACCACTTCGTGTTAGCGAGGACGCTGCCTGTCGGCTGTTGGAAAGCCAAGTCTTCCACAAGCAGAATGTACATACAGTATTTGTAACTTACGCCAACAAGATGACATCCACTGTGAATCAACAGCTTGCTTACTGCTGTTAGCATCAAATACGTTTGCAATTCAAATGCTTACTGTATTTTAGTAAATGTCATATAAATCACTAGAAATGTGAATTCCTCCTCAAGGAACTATTCTGGAAGTTTTCTAGAAATAATGACATTTCTGGAAGTTCCTATGAGGAACAGAATCAGTTACACACAACAGAAAGTCTTATTGATATCCAGCCTGTTTCTTGGGGTCCATTAGCAGACTTCTGCTTCTCAATTAATAGGTAACTTAGCCGTAAGATCTACTGGTAAAAAAGGAGATCTGGAGTCAGAAAGTGAGACTGGAGAGTCTGTGTTGGTGCCGACTTCGGCTGGCGAGTCACAGGAAGAGTCCGCACTGCTTCTGTTGTCATCAAGAGTATGTGACGACAGACTGAAAACAGAGTAACATCAAGATACGAGAAATGAGGTGCTCTTTCTGATAAGTTTCAAATACTAGCCTCCATTCATTATAAAGCCATTTTAAAAACAAACATACATCTTTGAAGGAACAGTAAGCCCTATGACTTGAAATAAATCTGCAACTACACACCTTGCAGTCACTTCCAGACAGACAGACAACATTCTGCCAATTTCCTCCTTCAGCTCACCCAGAAATGGCATACAGATTAGAAGCATCGGGCTGAGCAGTTCATTGCAAGTTTTACCCCATCTCCTACACGGTCCCGGGCTAGCGTATATCCAGAGGCCTCTTTTGTCAGGAGAGCTGATGCTAAACTGTACGTACTTCAGTTGCACCATTCATTACATATTTCGCAGGACACAAAATTATAACTATAGGTGATCTATCATCAGTGATACCATCAAAGTATTTTTAAAAATTACCATCTCCTAAACCAAGATGCAGCAACCGAGCCTGCACTATACCTACTATGAATAGGGTGTGCACAAAAGGTATGTTTTTAAAGTACCTTTAAAACATCTATTTTATTATTGCCACTGCAATGAGCTCAAAGCTTGTGCACAGCTATGTACATTAGCTGGGAGGCAAACAGGACAAATGTACCGTGAATAACCCTGTCTTGATAGTTGTGTGGGCACACCCTAGGTATTCTTAGCCTCTTGACTAAAATACTAAATCAAAATCCCTTGCTACTTCAAGTCGTTACAATTTTTTAGGTAGTACTTTTTATCTCCTCCCAGCAGGGAGGGTCAGGCAGACTAATTTTCCTATGTGACTAAGAGCAAGGAAAAAAAAGAAGGAAAAAACCCAATCCGCCCACAAGCATTAGCATTCATGTTTGATTGCAACTTGAAACTAGACTCCAAAAATTGCCAGCTATGAGGTGTCTTTTCCTAAACATGCTCAGCTCCCATATACGTGAAGCATGTTAACAGTCAGTCCTAGAAATTGTAAAATTGTAGTGAATATTACTGCCTGTTTACCGTGATAATTTCAGTGCTTCAAAATACAGGATGTCTGTATTAATAAAGAAACAAAACAAACCAACTTCAAGTGTGATCATCGCTAGATGAAAAAAGACTTATAGTGCTTCTGATGAAATCGACACAATAAATAGCACAGCATTTACCATCCCCCAAGGTCCGCCTGATGTGAAATGTCAGGGGTAAGCATGTTGGTGGATCCTTGGAATAATCTTTTTGGATGATCTTCTATCTCTGTTACACCTTTGGTAAGAGGTAAGGAGTGATAAAAAATTACTACTCATTTAAACGGAAATCTACTTTCAACGTACTTCTACAGAGCAAACAGAATAGAGAGGTTCAAACTTACTACAACCTATTGAGTGTTATTTTACATGTAAAACATAGAAGTTCAATGCTGGAATTTTAAAGACTCTTTATTTCTTGGAAACATTCTAGTCCAAGCTTCAGGGAAGTTTAGCGAGTTATGAACTGAGGTTTAGGTATCAGGTATTTATTCTTCAGTAGTGGAGAATATTTTTTTTGTTCCAGTTTATTCAGCTATCAGTTCACTAACTAGCTCCGTCAAAGTAGAGCAGCTGAGAATAAGGAAAGCTTCTTTTCCTCTTGCAATCAATATAAACAACGTCCAGGATTATCACTAAACTTGTATATTGACTTTGATTTCCAAATACACTAGAAGAAGGGAGGATAGATATATGCTTAAATAGGCTACAACAGAACTCGGATAAAAGTATTTAGAAGCTGTCTCAGAGCGAGAAGTATTCTGTTACAAAGGTGAACCATGAAGATGTATTTAGAAACAGATGCAATAAAATAACCAGAAGTTAAACTTGAAGAAAAATGTAGGAAGATAGAGAAATATTTCCCAATAAATCAGTAAGGTGTTTACCAGGTCTCTGGATCAGTTTTTGGTTTTTACTGTAGATTTAAAATCATCAGAAGGGTAATTTAAAATCTACAGGACCTGCATGCTTCAGTTCGCCAGGACTTTCAAAATTTTCTATTTGTGAAGTTAAACATACCAATAGTTGTAGTTCTTGTTTTGTTAAGCAGGTTACATTAGTTTATCAGATCGATATGACTACAGCAATGGAGAGGCATTAAAACAGAACAACTGTTAGTTTTACAGAATAGTAAAAACTAATTTATCAATTTGTCTGTTTTATCCCTACAAATAGTTCCATTTATTTGCTCATCTGTAATATCCTCTATTTCTAGTCGCTCTTTGAAATATCAGCCAATTGAACAGAGTTATGAAGAAAGCTAAATGTATTATTATAAAACTAACAAGTTGACTTCTTATATTAGCCAAAACCAAATACAGTACCTTTCCTTTTTATTGACCCAAGAACACTTGGTCGAATGCAGTTAATTGGACTCTGGCTTCTCCTGCTAAAAGAAGGCATATGCTATACTGACATCACCATTAACAAAGGAAGCCTGAAAACATGTAAAGAATCAAAAGATACTCAGATAACAAACTACTAAGTGGAAAACACAAAGAAAATAGGCATTAAAACAGCTTATCCAAAATAAGTCCTTTTTTTTTTTTTTCCCTGAAGACAGACCAGGAAGCATAGACCTTAACAGAAAAAAGTTTAATCATGTTATTTCACAGCTGGGGCAGTCTAAGAGCTCACATCTAGGCACTGACTAGATCTCAGTTGACAGGCAGTACTTTGCTGAACTGTTAGGGCCTAATAAAATTTAACTGTATGCCCACACCACTCCAAACAACACCCAATGCAACTAAAACCAGAATCAGTAACACACCCTAAATCTGTTTCCCCCCCTCCCCTTAGAATTCAATTCCATTACTTAAGATCTGATTAAGAGCAATATAGAGACTACACTGAGAAGACAGATGCCAAAATGCAGCCCACTTTCCCGCTGTTATGACATGAGGATTTTAACAAATATTTTAGAGCACTGCAGAATCCAAAGCTTACACGGATATATAAAGTTGTATTTGTGATCAGAAATCAATTATGTATGTAACAAATTCTGGTATTTCAAAAGCCTACTGTGAACAAGCTATGCCAATTTTGTATTATTGCCACGATCTGGTACTTACCTTGAAAATCGCCTTGTTGGACTCGGGCTAGGACTTGGAGGTAATCCACTGCTGCTCACCAAACTTTGCAAAGATGGTGAGAAACATTGCTGAGAGTAAAACAGTTTGTGTTATTTACGTATAAACACTATCACACTCATATGGTAACAACTGATCCTTATCACAGGTAAATAAGCAACCCACTATCAATTTAAGCAACCAGTCAATATGGCTGGGTATACTGAGATACCACTGTTTGTTACTAAGAAAAAAAAATTAAGTTGGAGAGATTGCATTCTCATGCAGAATACATGCAAGTTGACAAGGATTTATTTCACCGTAGTCTGGTTAAACAGACTACGGTTCATAAAATAAGAATGTATGCCCCTTCCTCTTATTCCAAGAGGAAGGCAAATAAAGAATAAGGTTTATTAACAGATTAACAGTCGAACACTCCACAGAAATTCACATCCACAAGATGTGCAACTGCTAGCTGGTATTTTCTGGTTTGGGGTTTTAGGGTTTTTTTGTTTTCTCTCTAGTTTCTTGTTTGCAGCTGAGGTAGAAAGGAGCAGGTGGCTTAATCTTTTGCTACTAATTTGGTTGAATTTTTTTAGCACTACTCAAGATAAAAATCATTATTACCACATTTTGCTCACCTTCCCTATTCCTCTGGTAGGTGAAGGAGCTGGAGAAACTGGGACAAAGTCTACTTGCTTTGGTGATGATGATTTTTCGAAATCATTGTCGCTCTGTAAATAGTACATATAATTAATCTTATGAGCAAGTACCTTAACATGGAAAGGACTGATTGGTGTGGAATTGAGTAAGATTCCAAAGTTATCCTCCATCATATCCATAATTTTTAGGTAGCCATTTATGAGATAAGCTTAACAAAAAACCCCCACCCCACAACCAAAAACAAAACCCCAAACCAAACAAAAAAAAGCCTTAAACATTATGTGGTGAGTATCAGAACATGGAAGAAAATTTGAACAGGCAGACATCCATGCAATTTTCTTTTGACATACCAGACCAAGGAACCCACATGTATCCTCAAACAACTGATAATTCTATGCCTTGTTGGTATGAAAAATTACTGATCAAAAGCAGTGATATACTAAAACCTTAACTGTAGGTCAAACAATAAAAGAAAATGTTGACACGAGAGAGTCTCTAGTGTCCTGATACTGATAATAGAAACACAAATTAAAGCATGAATGCATTACCAGGCTCAAGCTCTCCTCCCATGAGTGGCTCATCTGCATTGCTACTTGCACTTCTCTATAAAGAAGAAAAGAAATGTATTGTCCCGGGCCCACAGAAGACTACATTAAGTATTCTAGTTTGCCGTAATGCTTACCTTTCACGTACTGTTTCTCTGTTCATCAAATTCATCCCTTCTTCCTAAAAGATTAGCAGATGAAAAATTAAGACACTCCCCCCCCCCAAAGCTTTGCTACAGCAAATCAGAAAAGCTCATTTCATTTCACTTCAGTACGCGAAAAATTTAATTCAGCTCGGTTAAGCAACAATAACCTTAAGCTCTCACTACATGAAAAGGAGTGAGGGGGAAAGGACGGAAAAGAGATGTAGCAAGACAGACCATCACATAAGAAGTGCTTATAGGAGTTGGTTGTTTCTCACGCAGCTTTTTTATTTTCATTACTATCCAAGAGCTAGTTACAAAACTTAACAATGATAATATGAACCAAAAATTCTGCACATGCTAGCGTATCTTTATGCAGTCTTGCATAATATTATTTCACAAAGTAGAAACTAGTACAGATAATCATCAAAAGCATGGCTGGATTCTTACCTTATTCTATGGATTAGTAACTAGCCAGACACTTGTCAGCATTTCATTTGCAATATAGGGCATTGTACCCAATGAATTTGGGATTTAGTGTGTTTTTTTCTAAAACATCCATAAAATATTATTAAAATGGATCAAAGATGTAAAATTAAACTAAACATTAACACCAAGTTAAGTACAAACTTGACTCAATCTCCTCTTACGTAGACACCATTCCTTAAAACTAACTGAATACTGTCCAGTCTGCTGAGTGAATGAGTAGATTCCCTAATTCAGTCCAGTTCAAGAATAAAAGTTCAACTAAACATCTTCACAATCTTCTTCATATGTAGGAAGAGTCTTACTAACGTAGTTCAACTGTTTGATTATTTGCTAAGATTTGAAAGAGATCAGAAGTAAATCACACAGGTTCCCATCTGTGCCAGCAAGTATACAGGACATGGAATTTCAACTTGTGAATTTAATGATCAAACACAAATTAGGAAGTGCCATTGTTTGCTTTAATAAATGTATGGAACAAGTATGAATGCAGAAGTATTTTCCAAAAAATTGAATTATCAAACTTTACTTCATGTAATATAGCAGAGCCACAGTAGTTCATTCCCTTGCTCTCATCACATTTACATATTAATCCTAAACTGTTTTATGTTGATAAAAACAGCTCTACAACCGGCCCGAGTGCTTCAGAGTCTCTTTAAGCCAGTAAATTATTTACATAATGAAAGCAAGCAGTTATTTTCTTCAGGATTACTATGCATGCACCTTAAATATCTGAGGTGGGAAGCAGAAGTGCCTTCCATCACTTCAGACATCATACCCTGAAAATGCTGACCGAAACATTAAATTGTTTTCTTAACTTTTCACCTTGTAAAAATCAAGCCTATCCATTGAAAACCAGCAAGTTAAAAAAAATTAAAAAAAAAAAAAAATCAAGCATCTTCAAGCCAATTTTATAAACATTCTACTGTCAAAAAGTCGACATACAAAATGGAGGAGCCAAGAAAGTTTGAGCTTGTTGAGTTTAAAACTTGAGTCTTTAGACTGCGGTCTGTTGTCTGGTAGCAGTGCTATTTAAGCCTACTCAGATATTTGCCACACCCCCCCCTCCCTTCCTAAGTGTTTGCTCTTGTGCCCTTCCCCCTCCACTCATGCTGTGACAGCACAAGTACAGTGATCCGGATAAGAAAATTATACAGATGAAAAATAGCCCAGCCAGAAGAGTCCAAACTATTTTTTAGCCAGAGTGCTTCCTTACCCAGTTCATCTTCTGGCTGCACAAAAGTCTTGTGCCAACGCAAGTTAAGGAACTCTTTGTTATTGGCCCTGAATATTTATGCTGGCACTACTGCCAAAAACTTGGTGAAACTTTACCCTAGAGGGTTTACATTAAAGGTTTCCTTTCTAAAATGTCCATTTTAAGATTTCTCTTTCTGCTTAAATCTTCTTCTCACTATAAGATGCATTCTACTTCATTAAATTTGGAACTCTGCAGACAAGGTACAGCTTTTATGTTTGAAAACACCTTGAAGTGATAGACTGCTGCAGACTCTGTACTACAGTTTCAAAGTAAAATCCATAGCCATTTGAAGGACAGTACACATTAACTGCAAAAAAACAACCACCTATAAAAAATTTAAAATAAAAAAAAATTAGAATCTGTGCTTACCTGTTTGATTTGGTGAAGACGGCTGCTAGGAATACGGATAGGAGATGATGGCACAAACTGCAAAACAAAGCCACATACAACTGAAACACACTTAGTAACTACAGGAGAAGGGAGAGAAAGGTGCAGGTATGTTAGTAACCAACCTACAGTGGTTACCCAAACTAAAAAATATGTGTTGTTTGGGTTTAAAAAAAACAAACACAAAAACACAAACCAAAACAACCCAGCACTCATAACATTCTCAGTATACACGAACTACATTAATTACTTGCAAGAACATGATAATATATATTTCCATATTATACTGCTTTGCATGCTCACAGATGCTAATTGGTATCAGCCTGCCTTTCACTTCATTTCCAGGCAACTATAGAATTCACAGCCTTCTCTACAGAATGAAGCTGCTTTTAACTAACACACTGCCACTCTTCATATTTACAGTTGCATAAATATTTTAAGTGATCCAGAATATTTTAATTTAAGTGACCCAGAAGGCTCCCCAATAGTTCATTTAGAAATACAAAGCCAAAACCACACACTGTGCAAAAAGGTTTCTGGATTATTGTCTGCCTAAAAACAAGTACTTAGACAGGTGAACAAAATCAGCTATTAGAAGGCTAACAAAGAGCTAAATACCTTCCTTAAGGTTTCTCAAGAGCTTCACCAATTCAGGTGAAATTGGAAAGGATGTCACTAAAAATGGTCTTCTGTTCATTTTGTCAGTTTTGCGCCAAGATCTACTGGAATACTATGATCTAACACTGCATACTCAAAACCAAGTAATTAAAAGTTATTATTTTCTCAAAATATAATTTTCTTTCATATATTTCCCATCCCTCAAATGTTTGACCTTCAGCTGACTTTTGTCATAACCCATTCAGGGATCAAAAATTCAAAGATAAAGCTTTGAATTTAGAGAGGTTTAACTTCTCCTCTGTAAGCTGACAACCCCTCCAAAAAACAAGGTGTCTTTTTAAAACGGATGTGTGTTCAGCAAGTAAGATTTGTATTATTACTAAGTGTTTATGTGCTTTATGCTTCATCCCCTTCACAAAACATTACTAGAGCTCTTCATTATGCTGAAGTTGGAAAACTAACAAACATTCAGTTAACCATTTACTGCACCATCTTCTAATCAGTGCCATGGAGAATACAAAGATTTTGGTGTCTTACATAAAAGGTATGGTAAGTTATCACAGACCATTAATGCTTCATATATCCAGAATCCTCCCTCTAAAAACACAAACGTCAAGACATCACGCCCTTTTTCTCACAAAAGATATCAGCCTATCAGACTCACACAGAGGATGTCTAATGTTTGTGCCAGAATTCAGTCGTCATAATATATACTACTAAAATCTAACGGCTAGAATGTTTTGATTTGCCAGTTCTTAAGTCCAGTTTAGGTCAGCTTTACTATTATATCGGGCTCCCAAAAATCCTGTGCACCTAAAAAGAATTCCTCCAAGTTGTACCAGCCAATGTGGACCTTCAGTTGACCTTGATTCTCATGCAGAGAAAAGGATCTGCACAATAGTACATTCCTGCCTATTCACGCTGCCACTCCACAGTAGAAATGCATTTGTTCCACTCATTATATTCTAATTTTATGACTGTGATCCACATACTTTAAGGTCTGACATTAATAGAATATATAAGAAACCAGTGGCTCACAGTGTAAAATAAAAATTATAAAAAGACAGTCAAGTGTTCCTCTGCAGGAGCTAATGCACTAACTAAATCCATTAACTCTGAGGATCCTACATCCCATCTCCAACAAGTCATGATCCTTGCTTTGTTAATGCTTAAAACTCACTTTTTCCCTGCCTGTAGTCCTTTGATTTAATTCTTGTGAAAAGAAACTATCAGAAGCCTCAGTGACTTTTAAAGGATACTTGCTAAAGTAGACTGAACACATTTGTTAAAATTATGCTACTCAAATCCCCAATGTTTCAAGAAAGCACAAAGCTTAATAAAAAACATTACAAACTATTACACTATCTCATGGAGGAGAAACACTGTCCCCTTCCTCCCTTCCCCAGTACGTTAGCTAATCTTTTTCGCTGAAGGTAAAGTTTCAGAAGAGCCAGTTTAGCAGGCAGCACAGCCAAAGGAAGCAGTCACCTGCCCCGATGCCTCTGCCCTTCCATTGCCGTCCCTGCAGTGCCCCCTGCCTTCTGCCAACGCAAGCATTTGTGGGGCCACACAGTGAACCACGACAGGGAACTTACCTAGCTTTAAAAGAGAGGGGGGGAAAAAAAAATAAAAATTAAAAAGTCAACTTTTGCTGAAACAGCACCTAAACATCTAACCACGGACTAAAATGCTTTGCTTAAACAGCAAAGCCAAAACCCCAACCACACAAACAAAACACAAAACACCAAAACATTTACTTACTAGATGCCACCGTTATCTTCTGGAAGGAAATAAACAGCAGATACTGAGCCTAGTTGACCCTTCCTTGGCAATTACATGTAGTGTCAGAAAACTGTAGATTAAGCCCCAGCCAAAATGGCATAGCTGCCCCTGTAGTCATCATAAAAAAGTTGGAGTCTGAGACTTCGAGAAGCTACTCAATAAAGAAAGTATTTTAGAATTCAACTGAGCAACAGGGACAACCACAACTGCCCTGAAGATGGAGCTAGATAGTGTATGACCTTCAGTTATCAGACCATTTTAGCAACTCCCATTGTTCCCATGACAGTGAACACAACACAAGTCAGACAAATACTAATCAATTTTTTTCTATAAAGTTTAACAAAACATAAAATTTTAGCTGTACTTACAATACTAAATTAAGAAAGTTTCAGTCACTTACTGGATCTTTTCACCCTCTTTATTAGAGCTTACACTGCAATAAAACTTGGACTAGTTTTCCTAAATACAAAAAAGTGGTTTTTGAAGTACATTTTTTTGAAGTACACTTCATCACCTACTTATCATAAAAGTTAATTTACCAAAGCAGATGTCACCTAGCTCCTTAGAACACTTTAACATCATAAAACTACATGTACTACTTTGCTGTAGCAAGAATACCAGGTGTGGTTGCTTAGGGTCCTTAATGCTGAAAGTTTAATTATTTTCACAAAATCATTTATCTATGGATGATCCTGCTTTAAGACCACAGAAGGACGAGATAATGTCTAAGTTCCTTTCCGATTCCAACCTCCCTGCCATCTTCAACAGAACCAAAAACCAGACCATAATTCAAAGAAATATTTCAAAGCGGACAAGGCACTGATCTAGCAGTCAACGGAGCACTTGACTTTTACCATAAGTAAAATTTCAACTGCATTTTGTCAGCACCTGGTCAGCTGGAGGTGAAGAAGAAAGTTAACTTTCAGGATGCTTTTTAATAACCTTCAAGTGAGGTGAAGGGTTAAGAACATCATCCCATGAAGATGGGAACACTGGTTCAGCCCAGAAGACTGCAACATCTATTAGGGGCAGCTGGAAGAGCTAGCCCATCAGTGAACTAGCTCCCACTTCCCAGCAAATTCTGGGCAACGCGCCCTAAATTAGCATCTTTTTTTCCCAACAATTGAGCATCTTCAAGAAGTAAACACAATAAGCCGAGCTTTTGCCTTCATTTGTTTTGCCTCTCATCTGACCACAAGCATAAACAAATTTACCCTAAGCTGCCGCCCTAAAAATATATATGAAGAAAGAGACTGTTGTTTAAAGAAATCTTTACCATAATATGTTCTATCGGGTTTTATATCCTAGCAGGAGAAAGGCTTTTCCACCAATCTTTCTAGACTTTTACGTAAGTATCCCAGTTCTGTTACAGATGCAAACCTTTGCTGAAGTAGTTGCCTGTCCTGATTTTAAAACAGAATTTTAGCTAAGGGGCATCAGTCAACAAAATAGGAGAGCAGTATTCTTCCACCATTAACACGGGGCTAACAAATTATTTCTAAAGCATCTTCAAAAGGTAATGAAGAAAAACAGGATACGTGCTGTTAGCATTACAGGGACTTTGTTTCCCATACTTAAAAGAAGATTGATACTACTCCCCTCCCACCCCAACATAGCTTAATTTTTCCAAAACATTAATAATCAACTGAATGCAGCTGGATGTTATCCTGTGTCTACCTGTTTCTTAAGGCTTTCTTAGGGGAAAAGTTACATTTCTGGTTATACATGAAAGCCTGACCAAAAATTCCTTTTGGTTAGAGGAAATAACTACCCCATACACCCTAACCCTTTAAGGGTTAACAAACCATGCTGTCTATGTGAGCCTGTGCAGGTGTTCTAAATCAGTCAAAATCACAGCCTTGTGCCACAATTTGTACAATACTAAAACACAAGATATGCAGTATTTTCTCTGGGTTTAGATTAATATTTTAAAAATTCGAATTTAGGGAGTTGCAATAACAGAAGTCTGACAAAAGTTGAAATCACAAATGAACGTCTCTAAGAGATACAGAATCATTCACCCTGGAAGTCTCAAGATTCATGTTCTATCAGCCAGTCATATCTTGTTATATCAGTTGTTGATTACAACAGTCTATTCTGTCATTACTATATAAAAGGCAATTTAAGATCAGAACATCACTGCACTTTTAAAAAAAAAAAATCAGAAATTATTAGCACGCTTGTTACTGAACAATACATCTATGTAATTAGTTTTCCTTGTGAGCTACCTTTCGCACTCCATCTTAGAACATCTGCTTGTGTTTTATAAACAAAGTTATGATCACAATGAAATACAAGTACTCTCCAAGACCAAATGGTCTATGAATAACATTTCACTATAGCTACAGCGTATTAATGTCACAGTCTTCAGCCTTGTTTCTGAAAACATGTGGTATTAGTTTCACAGGCTACAATCTAATTTTCTTCTTTAATCCTGTTTGCACACTTCTGCTTTGGACCTAATGCGGTTGGTCTAATAGTTTTCTTACCAGACTATGACGATTCATAACTGTGGTACTGTTCCTGCGGGTTCGCAAAACGTTAGCCTGGAACACCTGCGAATTATCGCTGTGAAAAGAAACACTTGTCAAATGCAAAAGCCATTTCCTTCCTATCAAAAAGTACCTCTTAATATAAACTCAGTTTCAAATGCTATGACAGCTATCATTTCAAGACAAAGCACTCGAGAGACAGGTATGTAAGAAATCTTTTAGCTTGTTGGCAGAGAGTGGAAACCAAATTGCTCTTCCCCCAAGTCCCAGCTACTTCAATTAATGACTTTAATTAATCATATTGAGTCTTCACAATAACTGAAAAAATTGTTAAGACTGATCATTTCTATGGGAATTTATTATGTTTGGAACGGCTGCAGCTTGCATATTGCTTCGAACGTCATTCAACAGAACAAATTTATAAATGGCATATAACCAGTAACTGAAACCAGCTTCAATGCCATAGATAAAATAGAATAAAAAAAATACAGTTTCCTGATAAATGTTATCACTACGAACATTTAATAAGTTCTGAACTTTTTTCCAGGAGAGGTTAAATTAAACATACAGTAAAACCAGTTTTTAAAGTCCTAAGACTTTTGACCACGGTCACGTTTGTAACCAGGAAGCAGCGCATCCATTTAAATAACACCAGATTAGTTATGTGATATAAAATGAGCTCCTTTCTCAGGGCAACTTTAGTTCTATTGATTCCTAAAGCACGTTTCACTAGTTATCACTAGTGTTACCAACAGCCATTGATCAGCACTTAATGAATGAGACTGCAGAAATCAAGTAAGTTTTATGGTCACTAGAATAAAAATTTTGAGCCACTATCCTACAATCCCCATGCCTAAACATCACTGAGGAACTGCACAGGCAAACAGATCCAAATGTCAAATCGTAACTAGATCCAAATTACAAGAAGTCACTGGGTTGTACCTTTTTGTCTCCACTGCTAACCTGGGATGAACAAAAGCGCTACACAAATACAACTTCTTAAAACTAATATGACCAACAGTATTACCTTGTTCTAGAGACTGATAATCGTAATGCGCTTTAAAGACACATCACTAACAGGATCCTCTGGTTTAAAATGCACCAGTCAGACACGTAAGTTTTCTGACCAACAGTATTACCTTGTTCTAGAGACTGATAATTGTAATGCGCTTTAAAGACACATCGCTAACAGAATCGCTAACAGGTTTAAAATGCACCAGTCAGACATGTAAGTTTTAGACAGCTTTTATCTAGCTGTAAATAAAAAATAAACAAAGCTTATACTGTGAAATAAAAGCCAATAGTATTTGGCATAAGCACTGTGCTTTTCGCCAAGAAGAATGCATTGACTCCCTGTCTCTAAAACGTCAAGTACAAATGACCAGACACCATTTACAATTTGCAAAGAAGTTTCACTCAGTTCACACCCACAAGAGATCAAACAGTTGCCATTTGATAGGCAGTAGACAGGAGAAATTTAAGGGATCCACGATGTGATGTTTACAGATGAGATGAGATTTACTGGCTGAGGCCAACAGCCACAACTCCTTTTTAGTTTAAGCGTACTGGTTGGTATGCAAACACAACACAAACAGTACATCCTGAAATCCAGGGTTTGAATGGGGAAAACAGGTTGGAATGATTCTGTTACACGTTACCATAGGCTGAGTCCAATATTCAGTGCTAACTAGAAGAGAGGGAGCGGGGAAAAAAACCCAAACCCTACAGTATCCTTACCTTTAATCTCCCTTGCAAAAACACCAGAGCTGGTCAGATCTCAGACTTAACCTTTCACAGAAAATTCTTACAGTTCCCATTAAAAATCAACTCTATTTGGCATGAAAACAAGAATCAAAAGTTCTGTGAAACATAACTTCTGTGATCTAAAATATTCCACTTAAAAATGTTCTCTGGCTCTACGGTAACTCATTCGCCAAGCTCCTTACTAAATCTGTTAATGAAGAAGTAAAAACAGGAGGCAGAGTAGAAAAAGCAAGCTGTTCAAGAGCAAGAGCTTTTGTTTCAGTTTACCCAACAAAGCCATTCTGGGAAAAACCGAAGTTTCTTGCCAAGAGCTGCAATCTTGCAAAAACAGTTTTCTGCTGGAAAATTCCTAACAGGCAAACCACTGCAACCACCTCAAATTAGTTCAATGCCATTTCAGTTTAATTTGTATAAACACCTAATGTATAGTGTATGCACAGTTTCAAGGCAAGAGCTCAGGCTTACCCTCCTACCTGCCCAGGCCCTGAAATAAAGAATTTGTTCACAGCATGGTTATGGGATGCTTTTTTTTTTTCTAAAAAAAAAAAGAGTCAAGGGTCTCACAGTTTGTAAGAAACAACTTACAAAAGGCTGAGATTATAAAAACACCTCGTCTCAGTCACATAATTAGTTTACCTGCTCAGAAATCTCCCTGAGGAACAACTGCCATTCACAATACTTCTATACTGCATGGAAATGTAAACTGATAGTTGTTTCATTATGATTATGTAATAGAATCACAATTATGTTTACTTAATATTAAATCATGAATGAATAGGCAAGAATTAGTATTTCCTCTGAACTGTAATGTACCGTTAACCATTTTGGTACAGAAGATTTATGAGATTTGTTCGTCACTTGATATCTAGTTCCTTACAAGCAACATGAAGTTTAAGAAAAAAAAACAACAGTATGTACTTATCATGTATTATACTATCTTTTATAAAGTTTAATTGTCAATATGCTCTCCCAAACTGCAGACATACTACTAGTAGCAGCATATGGACCACCCTGAAGTTAGATGGTAGCCACACCATGTAGCGGATGGGAGCATCTCCCAACTTCATGACAGCCCAGAGGAGGCAAGAAACGGCACTCCGAGTTATAAACTTACCCAAACACAAAACCATACAAGAGACCATGCGAATCTGAGAGCTCTCCTCCTAGCCCTTGCCTGGGACTGCCACTGTCTCTGCCCTGTCAGCTGAAGAGAGCTAGACCTGGAACACACGGCAAACGTCCAACCCCCCTTGCAATACCCCTACTAACAAAATCAGTACTGTCCAGCAAAACTCCAGGACAACTGATACATTGTTTTACACTAAATGTAAAACTCATGTATCTTTCAAGGTCCCATGAAATGACCTTCTTCTTCACCGAATTCGCCCGATTGTTCTGAAAGCATTTACTGTTGTAGTCATACACAGTGCAGTGACTTTTTTTTTTTTTGGTCAAACTTGGACCCTTACAGAAATCACAGAGATCGCTACTTTATCTGTGGTAACGGCCACAACCTTGACACTGTGTACTGTATGTTTCTCAGCTATACAACACGCAGCAGACCCAGATGAAAACACACAAAGCGTTTTAATAAAGCTACAGCACGTCTGCCTAGGCTTTCTTGCACCTCTCCACACCTAGAGGGATATCTTGCCTAAATCCCTCCCCGCTTGGGACACCGGTGAGGAACCCACGTTTCCCCCTACGCCCAAGGCGCCCCAAAACACCACCATCGCTTTGCGCAGCGGGACGGGCGGTGAGGAGCACACCTCCCAGGCCGGCCTGGGTAAACGCGGAGCAACCCCCGGGGCTACAACCAGGGC